AAAAAAAAAAGATGAATAAGGGGAAGGAAGAAGAATGACACTATGAGAAAGCTTCATCTTTTTTTTTAAAATGTATTATCTCCCTTCCTGGTGATTAATATGAATACAGGGTGCTCAGGAAGCGGCTTTTGACAGCAGCAATTTCTTCTTCATTTTTGACCTTTGCTTTTTTCTGGAGGTGAAGAACCTTTGATGTCTTGTTTGGACTCCTGTGGTGCCTGTTGAAAGCATTTTTTCCCTGGCTTGTCCTTTTTTGTTCATGTAGCAAAATGAAATTCTTTTCACCTTATTGCCCAAGTGCATTGACAAATTTTTGTTTGCAGACTGAGGATGTAAAGAAAAAACTGGTTTCATTTGATCCAACCTCAAGTTATATATGCATCAACTATGTAAATTTGAAACAATGTATGGGTGGAAAATGAGAATATTATTTGCCATAATCTGCAAAAATACATTAGAGAATTGTAATTTGAAATTAGTTACTGCTTTATATTGCTTGTTCAAATCAGCAAGCTTATTTTATTATTAAGCACTTTTTTGTTTTGCAAGATGCATTCAAAAATATGGCCATCTTTTCAATGACTGTATTTTAGTCAAAACCTCATGTGGGTGCTTTTTGAAGAGTAATCTAAGAAATGCTCTTTGAGTGTTTGATTTTACCTTCTGGGATTATGATGAACCTTTATATTTAGTTGTTCAACAGATAACCTGAAAATCATTGTCTCAAAAATTTATGTTCAAGGATTTTTTTATAATTGTCAACCGCCAGCATTTCATCAATTTAAAATTTGCCCTAAGTTGAATGATAAGTAACATGAATTGTTTCCTGTAACCCATACACTGAAAACTGTGCAGTTTCAAGGAATTTATTCATATATAAATCATAATTTATTTTGGAAATAAATGTAAATATAGAATGCAGCCCTATTTTTGCCTATGGTGAAGTTCTCCAGAAATCTTTAGAGAAAAAGTGCATTCTTGGGATCTGGAACTCTAAGTTGCCAACATAATTGTTAATGTGGGTGATGATAAATTTTAAAAAATTGGTTTCTCCGCATTATGCGTGTTCATTTATTTTCCATATGAAAATGAGTATGTATACATACCTGTGATTTTTTATATAGTACTTTCAGGTATTTTTAGAAAAAATATTCTTGTTTCAAAGGGAAGATGTTTTATGACCACCCTGTGAAAGCGATGGTGTTGGCTTAGTGATCAAAGCCAAAGAAAATAAGTTCCCCCAGGTAATATTATTTTAGTCTCCTGGATCACTATCTGCTAATAGAGCTTGTTTTCCTCTCCCCGAAAGCTCTGGCGTTAGATTCGCAACTTGGATCAGGTTATGATCATCGAGGATAAACTTTG